CATTTACCCCCCGGACATTTACCCTCCGGACATTTACCCCCCGGACATTATACCCAGTAAACTGGATATAAGACCTAACAAGTCTAGAAATAAACTTATAGTATGCGTCAGATAGCAATTATGTAGTACTTTGTTTTAATCACAACCGTTTTTATTCTCAAGTTCATATTCTCATTCAATTCAAGTTCATCGAGGTCACACCCAAAGAGCATACTCGGCCACGCAGCTGCGGAAAGGACCTTCCGATCCCAGGCACTTGCAGCGCATGCCTCATCAAAGTGACAGCACCCCCAGCTCTCATTCTGGCGACTCTTCAATGCCTGGCATTAGTACATTGGCGAACAACCCGGTGACGACAGATACGGGCTTGTCGAAGGCGAGGGCTCTCACTCTAGAGAGCAGTGTTGGTGCTCCGGACAACAACCAGCTATTGACGGACCACCAGCTATTGAAGGGCCGGCCATTGAAAAACCAGTCATTGACCAACCAGCCATTGACGGACCAGCTATTGACTGGCCAGCTACTGACCGGCCAGCTATTCCAGAACGTCGGGGTTCTGAGTCCGCTGCAGGAATCGGTCGACAGCCGCTCCTCGCGATCCCGCCAACACGATGCGCGTCTCGAAGAAATCGACGACGACGACGCCACGCGAACAGACGCCATCGTCGTGGCGCGCGGCGACACGACCGACCCCACGGCTGACCCTGTCGCGGCGTCGCCGACGGAAACAGGCTCCCGAGCGGCGATCGCGGAGACGGACCGAGGACCGCCGGAGACCGACTCTGCGGTGGCGCGGCGGGGGAGGCGGCGGCGCGGCGACGCCGCTCTGACCGACAAAACGAGCTCTCGAACAGACGCACGAGCGGGGATCGCGGAGAGATTCAGGGCGCACGCGGAGGCAGTGGACGCTGCGGCGGCGGAGACCGAGACCAGGTCCGTCACAGATGAAGATGGCGGCGGCGGCTTGACAGGCGATGCCGGGGAAGCGCGGCGGGGGAGGCGACGACACGGCGAGGAGGGCGCTCCGATCGACAGAACGCCGCGTGCCGTCAGCACGAAGGAGGAGACCGAGACCAGGTCCGTCACGGACGAAGACGCGATCGAAGACGGCGCGCGGCGGGCGAGGTGGCAACGCGGTGACGAGGACCCACCAGCTCTTCCCGTCAGCTCGAAGCCGCCGATCGCACCGGGGAGTCGTCCCACGACAACCACCACAACGACGACGACGACAAAGGGCTCCGCGCGCACGCCGCACCGCCCGCAGGCGAACGCCGTCGCCGCCGGTGGAGACCCAGCGATCCCGTCAAGGCTGCGTCTTGGCAACGAACCGGCGCCGTTCGCGAACCCAAACGAGATGCTATTCGTCGAGATGCGTGTCGGCGATGCGGCGGCGGCGGGGGAGGGTGACGGGGACGCGTCGTCCGGGGTCGTCGTGAGGTCGATCCGGCGGCGCTGCACGGTGGCGACGCTGAGCGACGCGCGCTCGCACAACTCCGTGCGATTCGTCGAGATCAAGGACGATGCGCCGCTGCCGGCGCCGGGCGAAGAGGATGTCGACGCGAGCACCGGGCGACCGGATTTGCGGTTGACGATGACGACGATGTCGCTTGTCGATGCGGCGAGAGTCGAGAGCGACGCGCAGCCGGGAGCGGTGATGGCGACGTCGCCGGTACGTGTAGGGAGGCTTGGGGGACGCCGTGGGTGTGGTTGGGTTTGGGTGTGGTTGGGGTGGGTGTGGTGGGTGTGGTTGGGGTGGGTTGGGTTTGGGAGTGGTTGGGGTGGGTGTGGGTGTGGGTGTGGTTGTGGTGGGGTTGGGTGTGTTTGGGGTGGGGCCGTGGGTGTACGTGTTTGGGGTGGGTTGGGTGTGGTTGTGTGGTTGTGGTGGGATTGGGTTTGATGTGGTTGGGACTAAACTCCGATGCGTTGGGGCGCCAGCGTTTGTAGTGCCGAACATTTTAGCCATTTCTTTTTTAAACGCTTCAAAAGTTGTGCTTAGTATTTTTCCTGGTGTTTTAAATGGGTCGAGTTTTTCGTCATGGGAAAAAAATCAAAGTGGAGTTATTACGAACTTGCGGTACAAAACCTGTTTGCATGCTCCACCCTCACCCGCTGTCTTTTTGTTGTACTTTCAAAGTAAAGACTGAAGAACCAACGTTTAAATGGATATACTAGACTCTAGGATTTTACTGCATACAACTGTACTTTAACTTACTGTGTAACAAATTGTCTATACCCACACATACTTGTTACCAGATACCTAATTTAATTGTTATAATTAAATATACATCAACGCTACGAAATTTGAACGGCGCCATTGATACCTGCGCCGTGCTGCCACCCTGAAAAGGTTGCGCATTTCCCAATATATTTTGCACGTTACATACCGAGGGCTAATCACAAAGGTGCAATTATATTTATACCTAAATGCTATTTAACCGAACAATGTTCATTTTAGGACAAATTTATCCATAATATAACTGAAACTATATGTCGTTTATAAGATATTACAACCCTTTTGCTTTTAAATTAACAAATAAGAAACACCCTCGGTCTGTAGCCCTTGGCTGAAAAGTCGTTTTGCGCAACTTTTCAGATCGTGCGCTTTGAGTGGCGCCACCATCGTTGTAATTAAACTAGTCGTTAAAAAAAAAATCGAATGGTGATTGAACCATGAAACTTTTTATGTAGCGTAATTTTAACCTAAATTAACTGAAAATAACCCTAGAACCTAGAGTAAAGGATTCCTTTAATATATAATACGAACAACGAGTTTATTCCATCGCAGTCCAGCCTGCCAGTATCCCACTGGCTTCGGGGAAGTACTTGGCGCCACCTATTGGGCCCATTATGGCGCATGTTACAATAATCTTGCACGTTTGTCGGTAGCAGGAGTTCCCGGCGAGGCAGCAGCTGAGTGACTCATCCTCGTCAGGTGGCAGCATCAGCAGGAGCAACACGGCCTCCAGTTCCTCCTCCGTCTCGCCGCGTGTCGCATGGAAGAAGGGAAACCTGTTGGGTCGCGGCGCATTCGGGATGGTGCGTATATGTATATACAAACACACATATATATAAATATATGCAGAAAAATGCGAAATATGCGAGCTGAATTATCTCTCTTCGTCAGGCTATAAAATGACCATGAAATTTCATCAGGCTATTCTATTTTTCTACATTTATTTTCATATCTATATGGATAGTCGTATTTGTACTTCTATGTACATATATATACTTATATTAATATATATATATATATATACACATTAGTATACAAACAGAGGATTAAGACTTGCACTTTATCATTCCTAGCTTATACATGGGTACATGGATATTGTAAGAGAGACAAAACAAAGTTAAACACTCAAACGTAATAGGCATGCGTCTCAGTAGGTAAAGTAAACCTGCTGCTATAAATCTGAAAAGATACCCATCAAGAAAAAAAAAGAAGTTGCAGATATATATACAAAGAAGATTGCTGCTCTTTCAAATTTTGTGTTTTTTTAGTCTTTAATTTTTCAAGGCATGCTTATGCAATTGGTAGAGTCTTGTTGTTGTAACTATTAATGTACTTTCGATTTTTGCTGTGCCCGTGTGTGGAAACCGTAAGTGTGCCTTTTTTTTCCAGGTTTGATTGGTCAATCTGATCATCAACTCCATTTACTTGTATGTTATAATCATACAATACAATCAGTACACCGTGTGCTTTCCTATTATAGGTGTGGTGCGGCCTAACAAGCCTTGGAGAACTCATAGCTGTAAAGCAAATAGAGTTTGGCACAGAGACCTGGGATAAGGCACAGCAGGAGTATGAGAGGATACAAGAGGAGGTGGAACTTCTAAAAACTCTTAACCACAGAAACATTGTAGGGTGAGAAGTGTTCTCTCTATTTATCTAAATTACAGTAGGTGTAAAAATCACAAATTTGAGATTATTTGTGCCTGATTATAGCAATATAATCACACAACAGTGTTTAACGATATACATGAGAATGTAAAGAGTAATTTTTACAGTTTCGACAACCAGTGTAACTGTCTTTGTCAGGCGAAATAAAAATGCTTGTGCTTATCATTTGCATTTGATGCAATGAAACATATATTTGGATATATTCCTGGTATATATTTGGATATATTCCTGGTATATACTTTCCTGGTATATTTGGATTTGGAATTAACATTATCATTTAATCTAATTTATTTATTTAAAGAATTGAGAATATCTATGTAATCCCTGTCTACTAATGCGATTGATAGTAAAGGTGGCTGTTTTAAATATAAGAGGCTTTGTCTGGATTTCAGCTATCTGGGTACAAGTTTAGATGGAAACGTGGTGAACATATTCATGCAGTTTGTGCCCGGAGGCTCACTTGCTGGTCTGCTGGCTAGATTTGGAGCTCTGGAAGAATCAGTGTTCTGTCATTACACGCGCCAGATACTGGAAGGAGTCGAATATCTGCACAGCAATAATGTTATACACAGGTAATGGCATTTATCTCTTCAGTTAAATTTTACCTGTATTCACAGAACAATTGGTAGTCTTGTGATACCATACACAACTGTTTGGCACAAAGGAATGTTAAAAAAACAACATGAGTATACAGTTGCATCATTAAAATAAACCAAAGCTCGTTTTGTATCTTGTGTGAAAATATCAAAGTGTCAAGAAACATTTTTTGGTAATTTTAGAGATATCAAAGGAGGAAATATCATGTTGATGCCAAATGGGATAGTGAAGGTCATAGACTTTGGCTGTGCAAAGAAGATAGTTCAGCCACTGGTGAGTTGATAGAGATTCCCACACGTAGTAGTCTGTATTATTACTTTAGGCTACTATAAGATATTTAATATTTTCCACAATATAACTGAAAAGAATGTTGAAAGCTTGAAGTATTAAATATATAAGCTAGAACTGTCTATGATGTGGCGTTTGCATACATATACCGGTAGTATTGTTTCACGTTAGAACCTGCAAATTAATTGCAACAAAGAAATACTGAAATCAATGAAAGGAACACCTTACTGGATGGCACCTGAAGTCATCAATGGCACTGCTATGGCAAGAAATCTGATATCTGGTATGTGTCATTAAATATTTGGTGATGTAAATTTTATCATCACTGACAGGCAGGCGTGTGTGGTATTAAATCCCAAGGGATGCATGGGTCAATGGTTTTTATATTATTAGTATCACTGCATATTAAAAATTGAAATAATGTGAGTCTATGGTACATTTATAGGAGCATTGGGTGTACCATCTTTGAAATGGCTACTGGAAAACCACCATGGTAAGTGAATATCATCCCTCCCTGTTGAAGTATATATATATCAGGAGTAGATAATATGGAAGGGTGTGACATCAATAAACAGGGAAATTCGTCATTTACTAGCCTATAAATACCTACGATTTTACTACGCGTAACTCATCCAACTTGAGCTCAAATCGGCACCAGTACATTCGCATAGCAATCGTGCGAAATCGTTTCCTCTTATCTACTCATGATATATATATATATATATATATATATATATATATATATAATTACCTTCCTGTTTGAAGTATATATATACACAATTGTTTCTATCCACTCCTGATATTATATATAAAGTTTATAACGAATGCAGGCTTTTCCCCCTTTTGATTGTCTCGGCATTTAATTTGACATTTTTAATTTCACGGTCATGTTTGTGTATTATGACCAGGGCTGAGATGCTACCAATATCAGCTATATTTTACATCGGCTCTGGACAAGCAGTACTGCAGATACCCGAGAAATTGTCGTCTGCCGCACAAGACTTCATAAGGACGTGTATGACCAGGTAGATAGCTGCATTAATTAAATCCAACTAATTAAATTACACAGGGGTGCGAGGAACAATTTCCAGCCAAAATTTGCATAGCAAATGTGCTATACAAAATAAATTTTGCATAGCCAATTGTGATAAATTAGCATAGACATTCTTTTTCAGACAATCACAGTGCAAATTTACACCGCAGGCATGCTTGGCGTGTTATCGTGTCTGCCTGTGACAGGCACAGCTAGCTTAAGCCTATGGACACACTAGCGATTCTGCACGCTGCCCGGCAGCGTTTAAACAGCGTGCGAGCTTGGCACTCGTCCGCTCGCAATGTCGAGTGAAAATAATATCGGGCCGGGCGAGTGAAAGCTAAAGCTGACTCGCCATGTTGGCGAGTAAAATAATGTCTAGAAACTTTAATCAAATGTTGGTTCCTTACGTTATATATCCAAACATTGATGAAATACAGTTCTAGACGATTGTGAAGGGCGGCTATCTGACTCTCGACCACGACATCCTCACTTTATATTATCAAGTCGCCGAAGAAAGCAGCCCGCGCGAGCGTGCAGCGCCAGCACAGTGTGGCTGTGTATACGTGCCTGGGCGGCATATTGATTGATGTACGGGGGGGGGGAAGCAGGATTGTTTAAAAGTCACGTTGGCGTGGTGTTAAACAAATCAATAAAATCGGCGTAACGTGGCATTTCATTGACGCGGCAAAGCAGCCCGAGAATAAAAGTAAATTGTAAACATGTATGTTTCCGTTTACATCTCGCATGGGCTGCATCGCACAACTGCGATTCATAAAAAATATGCGTAGCAAATGGCTGAAAATACATCGCCGAATTGCGATGCGATACGGGAAAATTATTCCCTGTTGTGACATTGTATAAGTTGTGCAGGCACTGTTGAGAGAACTCTTCCGTTGATTAATTTTCTTTCGATTTTTTTGTATGGTTTAGGAAGATGTAGATTGTAAAGATGTCAAGGCTTTTTTTAAACCGTACATGTTTTTCTATATCAATGCTCTATTTATGTAAAGCATTTCTTAGAGTTCACTGACAATTTGCGTTGTTTCAGGGACCAGGATACGAGGCCGGAAGCATCGGTGCTGCTGTTACATTCCTTTGTGAAGGGCAAGTATCGGAAATCATCTGGAAAGGCAAGGCATCGTGCTTTTGACTACAGTGCGAATGAGGAAGGCAATATGTGAACGGTTGCATAATAGTGTTTTAAGCCATGAAATACATTTCTTTAGGTGGCCGATGTAGCTGTTATATTGGCACTGTGTAGCAAACATAACCGAGACATTGTAATCGAAAAAGTAAAGGAGAAATAAGAGGATGATTTCCTGATGGGCATGACGTCGCCTGTATCTTAAACACACACGCATATATATATATATCAAGAGCTAATAATACCTAGAGTGTACAACGGAAAAACGGGAAAATAGTGCTATTTCACGACATGATTATTCTACTTTGCCTGCGAGTCTAGAATAATTTATGTATTGCATTAAGCAGAATTCTTTTGCTCTCTAAAACAAGACAACCGCTTGTCAATACAATACTCCTAGGCTGAGATATTGGCTCCTAAACTCCCCTCCACATGCCTCACACGGCTGGCATCAGCTTATTCCGTAACTAAACGCCTCTAAGTTGCTTCGTGAGAGTTCGGTTTTTCCGCCATAATTTTATGAATGATTTTCGGGTGCAGGTGCCGGGTGGAGGTGACTTTCGGGGGCATCGCCTATGCCTTATCTCCCATTATCTTTCCTAGCACGCTAATGCCGTCATGATGGAGCCGGCAATGTTTTTTTAATAAGTCTCTAACACGCAGCTAGTAAGAGTACCAAATTTGGGCATGTGACTCAATTATCAGCGCTCCAAGCGTGACGGAAACGATAGCGAAATGCTTAGACGCGGTGAAGGATGAGGACAGAGTGGATTCGAGCGCGGTTTGGCATGTGGGAGGGAGGTTTAGGACGCATATCTCGCCTAGGAGTATCGTATTGACAAGCGGTTGGTCTTGTTTTAGAGAGCAAAGAATTCTTGCTTAATGCAATACCATGAAATTATTATAGACTCGCAGGCAAAGTAGAATAATGTTGTCGTGAAATAGCACTATTTTCCCGTTTTTTCCGTTGTACACTCTAGGTAATTATTAGCTCTTGATATATATATATATTATCAAGAGCTAATAATACATATTATTAGCTCTTGATGTTATGGTAATATTGTAAATAGTTTAAAACATGTATGTCAGTATGTCATGTTTAATTTATTAAAAGTATAATCTGAAGTGTATATGTATGAAACTATGGTGAGAATGGAAAGCAAAATCCAATTGCATGTTTGAGGAATAGTTATGTGTAGCCTTGGTAGTGTGAGGCTGTGATTTCTTTGTAAGCTAACTGTAAACTAGTATTGTCACTCAGATGTTTGGATGGATACTCATTAATCTGCACTACTGCAGTTAAACTGTTGGCATTCCATGTGTGGCTTATGATTTGGTGCAAATTGTAGTAGCAACCATTGTTACTAATTACATTTTACACGGCTTCCATTGTAAAAAAAGGTGCCTTATGCATAATCATGGTCATCTTATAATGTATGCTAAAATGTATTTTTTTTACACATTTTAATCGTCTGAATTTGCCATGCTAACTGAACCATTATCATCTGGTGATAATCATGTGTAAGTCTTATCACTGAATGCGTTTGTGATGCTGCTAAAGCCCTGTCACAACGAGCACGACGCATTGTGCAACGACAAGACAGAAAATTTGGGCAAATCGTGGGTCATCGGGGTCGTCGCAAGACAGTCCTACGAAACTTTGAGCATCGTGGCATCGACTTGCCGTCGTGAGCAAATTGAACATGCACCTTTTTTGTGCACGATTTTTGTGGTATCTATGTCTTCTGTTGTCGTGAAGTCTGTCCTACAACAGTCTTGCGACAGCTTGCGACTGTTTGCGATAAATATCTTGTCGTGGTACCAGAAGAAATTTTTTAGTCAAACAATCTTACGATTATCGCACGACTGTCCTACAACTGTTTCACGGCTGTCGCAGGACAGTCGTGAGACAGTTGCAAGATTGTCTCACGAATATTATATTTTGTAGAGGCTCGAAAACATTGCATGGTCGGCGTTAGTCTTGCGTTAGTCTGCAACATATTTTCGTTTTTTGAGGGTATATAGCTCGGGCGAATGAACGCTTGAATTAAAAAACTGCCGTCGGCGCTGAAAGAGGATGGCTATTCACCTGAGCGAATACGCGTGGCCCTGCTGAGGGCGTCTGGAGGAACTCCAGCAAGAGCAAATATGTGCTGTTGGCGTTGATCTGGGCCTGGAGCAGCGCAGAGAACGCGAAACCCCCGACGTTGGTTGGTTCGGCCGTGGATCGAGCGGCCTGATGTTTGGGATATAGTACTCTGATGCAAGAGTTGGCGCGGGAATCTGCCGGTGACTTCTTGGGGTTCATGCGATGGAGTCTGGCATGTTTCACGAGCTGTTGCTGAGGTCGCCCTCGCATCACCAAGGGCCAATGCTAGGCTTACCACCTTTTCTCTTGTTGGTTTCTTCTTGAGAGGCATCCGAGATATAACTTGATTAAATAAGTGACAAATGTCAAAAATTCGGGCAGAACTTCGATGTATCCTGGAAAATCTCTGCAGCAAATGCAGGCAACAGACCGGCTCGTTATATAGCGGGAGAGGACGCCGAGTGGACCCACGAATAGCCCACGACTGTTGTGCACCAGTCGCACGACTGTAGCATGTGCATCCCACGAGTGAACCACGACCTGTTCACGTGAAAAACAGCCCCCCGACAATGCCCGACAACTCACGACTGACGCACGACTGACTTGCGACACACCCACGAACATAACCACGATTTTTTTTTTTCTGTCGCTCCCCATCGCCAAACCATCTGATGTTCGTAGCCCTTGTGACCACTCGAAATACATTTCGGGCTGTTGCAAGATCTGGCCACGACAAATATTTATGGTCTACACGACAAAATTCGTACGATCCGTGTGACCGGGCTTAAAGAGGTAGTATGAAGAGTAGATAATTACCATATCTGTATAATCTAGTAATCATATCAGGAGTCAGGAGTGTCATAATATAGACTATATTATGACTATATATATATATATATATATATATTATATATATATATATATAGACTAATATAGACATGTCTATACGGTATTATGACACTCCTGATAATATCCAATCTGGCAATCCTGTCCCTGATCCATGAATATATACGTGTTCATGCACACACAGTGCTCCAAATTATACAAGAGTAGTATTTATACTGTTACCATACTATCAGGAGTGGATAATAGGAGTGGATAATATCCCTATTATCCACTCCTGATACTATCAATCTGCCTATCATATACATTTCTTTTTATATTATTTATATTTTTTTCTCTGCTGTGGTTTCAATGAATTATTTGCATTCACATGTAATGACATGTAGACATGTAAGGTCTTTTTAATAAACTACCTGTACACTGTTATATAGTATGAAGGTGTTCACGTTGTTACATGATTATTACACGCACACACATTGCTGGATGGTGCACGGCTTATCTGGTGTGTCCTACACACATAAAATTACAAGCCTGATGTTTTTACTATTATGTTGAATTTATTGGCTCACATTCTACACGTTGTTATCGTGTTGGTAAATGAAACTCCAATGCAAGTATAATTTCGTGACAAAAAGGCGCCAAAGCTAACACTGGGTTGTGAAATGCGACTACTTAACTTTCAGTCGTTTAAATGACTGATGATTACACATACTGTACTACAACTACAAATGCGTTATCATAATGTATGCTCATTAGAACAGTTTTTTTGCAACGTACATTCGGCTACCACGTTTTACTATATACAAAACTCTAGCCATTTCCTTTTAATAAGGAACAACAATTCTTTCACAAGCTGCCTAATACACATGGAAAAAATATATATTAGCGAATTGTATAGGAATAGTAAGAAAACGTTTTATATCATATATATCGTGCTCACAGAAACGTGATTGTGAACCTATACACCCACACATAAATCCCACCCACGCACAATTTAAATAAAACTTTTTATCCCACCCACAAATAACCAAGCAACCCAAAACAAGAAAACGTGTCGCGTTTAGAGAAATCACACGATCAGAGATCACGCAGTTAAACTAATATATTTCTTGATTCCTCATAATTCGAATAATATATTTACAGAAATTATAACATAACTATCAAGAAAATACATCACAGTTTTTAACTAATCCTAATAAAAACAATAACGGCTTTGTACCTACCACAGACATACATCATTGGTATATGATAGTACTTCGTGTGTAAATGACACATCTTTGGTGAATGACAACATGATTGGTGAATGACACCACATCATGATGAATAACACCATATCATTGTTGAATAACACCATATCAGTGTTGAATGACACCGCATTATTGGTGAATAACATATCTTTGGTGAATAACACCATATATAATGGGGTGTTCAGCCTTGCCATACGACTGTCGAAAATGTCTGTTCTTTTAGCTACAGATCCACATCTGACATATTCATCTGTTGATAAGTGTTACGAGCTGAAAAGCAGAGACAACTCTTTCTAACCTACTGTTTATGCACTGAAAATGAAAAAATCAACTACTCTGCATTTTATCGCTGCCAATACTTTTATCTGAAAACACTCTACATACATTCTCTCTATTTCTTTGCCAATTATTTACACATATTGTTTTGTGTGTAATTTTGTAGATATATGGTTGTGTGTGTGACATAATTACTTTGGCAAATAATTGAACTCACTCACCTTCGAAGTAACAGGTGTCTGTGGCATCATCCGGTTCAGGGACAAACGGCGGGCCGATACTGAGCAAGTTCTCCCAGTCTATATCCAAGAATAACCTCAACTTACGTACCCCTGAAAACACACGAACAAATGTAAATCCATTTCACCTAGTTACATACTCCTGCTAATATGGACATATGTAAATCCATTTTACTTAGTTACATACTGCTGGAAATACGGCCAAATGTACCATTTCACCTAGTAATATATCTAGTTTTGGTCGGAAATCATCCTGTCTTGTCGGATGCTACAAAACGATCATTTTTATTTGTTAGGTATATCCAATTTGACATCTCATAATCATACGGAACCAGGCAAATTTTTACAGTGCATTCATTTAGTTTACAGGTCATAAGTATAATGAAGAGCCAATAACATTTTTTTCCCTCTTTTCAAGCCATCCTTAAAATGCTTGGTATTAACCCTTAAATGTATGGTGGGTTTATCAACAATAAATCTTTCAAAGGTGGGCATATATATATATACCTGAAAACCGTGGTCGCTTGATGGGGTCCATAGTGAGCAGGCTGCTTATTGCAGCGACTGCATCATTGGAGAGAGCCTCCTCCCCTTCCGGCCATACCAGGTCTGACAAAGAATTTTATTATTTGTACAATAATAATTATAAAAATTGCTTTTGCGTCGTACAAGGTGCGACAACTTTCGCGTTTGTAACGTTGGCATACAACTTTCGCGAGTCGTAAACGCGTTGGGCAAACCAACTTCTCAGCGTGGTAAATTCGTTTTGGCGCACATAACTTTTGCATCTCTTCTGTCTAAAACGTTGTCATCTCACAAATTTTGCCGCCTTTGTTAACCGTGCAACAATCTTTTTTTCGCGTTTCGTAACGTTGCAGAGAAACTTTCGCGTCGTAACGCTTCAACGACTCTTTCGCCGTTGTAAATGTTGGCGACAACTTTCGGGGTTGTAACAGTTGCAACATGAATTTTGCGTCTGTAACGTTGCATATCAACTATTCGCGTTCGTAACCATTACACTATACCACACAACTTTTCGCGTTGTAACGTCTGCACTGTAACAACTTGTTACCGAAAGAGCGTGAAACGTTGCATTAAACTCTCGGGTCGTTAACAGTTGCGATAAACTATTTTGCGCGTTGTAAAACGTTGCAACAAACTTTCGAAGTCGTAACGTTGCAACAACTTTCGGGTCGTAACGGTTGCAAACAACTTTCGTCGTCGTAAACGTTGATGAAAAACAACTTATCCCGAAGGTCGTAACGTTGTATACAACATTCAGGCGGTCGTAACGTATGCATCTACAACTTCTTCTACATCCTCGCTCTCATTCGTCGTCTAAATCTAACTGCCTCTTTGACTTTGTCTCGTTAACCGAGCTGTGTACGAATCGTTTCATCATTTTTTGCGGCTCACATGCGTGAAACCGATTTATTGTGGCGATGACAAAATGTACTTATTATTTAATTTTTTATTTGCACGATGGAAGGCGTGGAAGTAGACTGGTGGGCGCTGGGTGTTTGCCTGTACGAGTTCCTGACGGGCATTCCTCCTTTCAACGACGACACAACACTAAAAACCATTCACGGTGTTCACACGAAGCACTATGTAAACAGAGGTAGCGTCTCGCGTCCTTTAGCTTGAAAAGTTTGTTTCATGTGCGTTGTGTGTATGCCTATACAGTAGAAGTTTGTTAATATGCGTTTTGGTGGTTTGTGTGTATGCCTACTATATATATGAGATGAGCTTGTGCACCGGCATTCGATCGCAGTCAAAGATGAATGTGGTGGCGCCCACATTCAGAACTATTTATTTGAGCATGAACACGTGGATGGCACGTGATCAATCATGTGATATACCCTGTGTTTTGTTATTAGGTGTAATTCTCCCTAGTAGATCTTTTTTATTGATTAAAAAGTCTTTAATATTTAATACTTTTTATTATAATAATTT